CGTCAATGAGGTCGGTGGGCAGGGAGAGAGGGAGAGGGAGGGAGGTAGGGAGAGGGAGAGACCGTCTCTCCCTTGTGTGTATGGGTGTTTGGCGGCTGTGTTTGTTGTCAGGGTAAGGAGTTCAAGTTGCAGTCGGTCGATGCGGCCGGGAACAATCGGACGGTGGGTGGGGATCTCTACGAGGTCCGATTCGAAGGACCGCAGCACGCACCCAGACCACAAACAGGTAAATAACGACCGACCCACCCACACGCATCCATCCACCCACCTACACAAATCGCTTCTGTCCGTCCGTGTGCAGGTTGGTTCGGAGGCCCGTGCACCGACAACAGTGACGGCACCTACACATGCGAGTTCGCCATCGTGACCCCCGGCATCTACCAGCAGCACGTCTACTACTTCTCCACAGAGATCCTCCGGCCGCCCTTCAACCGCACCATCACAGCCCAGGGCGTCATCTCACCCGAGCAGACCTACGCCACGGGGCCTGGTGTAACGGCCGCACCTGTCGACCCGGCCGACATCATCAAGGCTGGCGTGCCCACCACTTTTACCATCGTCACGGCGGATCCTTTTGGGATTCAGTACTTCGAGGGCGGCATGACGTTTGTGGTCACCATTGACGTCAATGTGAGTTGTGACATGGCTGGCCATGGGTGCACAACAGGATCCTCGATGGATGGATGGATGGACATGGATGTGTGTGTGTGACAGCCCCCCTTTCAGGTGACGCCCGTGGACAACAACGACGGCACCTACAATGTGACCTACACCATCTGCCCCGCCGGACCAACTCTCATCTACATACAAGTGATGTGACCCCCTCCACCTCCCCCCTCACACAGCACACACACCCCACACCCCACGCCCCTCCGTGTGTGTGTGCGTGTGTCTGATTCATCCCATCCACCTGAATCAGTTGAACTGCAAGATTCGCGAGTTCCAGTTCAACGAGGTGTGCGAGGCCTTCCCCTCCAACACCACCTCAACCCCGGTGCCCATCTCCGGCTCCCCCTACCCCATCACTGTCGTGCCCTACCTCGAGGACCCCGCTCAGTCGGCCATTCAGGGCCATGCACTCGTCGACCCGAGAGCCGGCGTGCCGCAAGAGTTCCAAGTAGGTGGTGTGGTGGTAGAGGAGAATATATAAGGGGGAAATCGGCATCGCATCATCAGTGTCATCTATTGTCTCCTCCTGGTCTCTCTCTCTTTGTGTCTGTTGTGTTGTGTTGTGTGTGTGCAGGTGGCCTTTGAGGACAGCTGCGGCAACATCCCTGTGGACTTCAACCGCTCCGAGTGGAGCCTCACCCTCACGGAGGACCTGACGGCCTCTCTCGTGCCCCTCTCGTGGGCCCTCGCCTCTCCCGGCCTCATCGAGGCGTCATTCACCCCCCTTCGCAGCGGCGCCTACACCCTGTCCGTCATCCTCGACAATACCGGCACCCCAGCACACATCTCCAACTCACCCGCCACTCTCACCGTCACACAGTCGGCCGTCGTGGTGGGCACTGACTTCGTTATCGGCTCCTTCGGCGCGTCCGAGCAGTCCCTCCGAGGGCCTCTGAGTGTTAGCACAATGGACGCCGGGCAGTCGGCGACCTTCCAGGTTACGGCGCGGGACATGTACGCGGACGCTTTGCCGTTTGACAACGACACGTTTCGGGTGGGTGTGTGGGAGGGGGGCGACTGCCCGGCGAGCGTGGGGTGTGTGGGGCTGTCGGCCAAGGCCGCCAGCTGCGCCCTGCATGGTCAGAACTGCGTCGTGCGGTCCACTGACAACCTGTGTGTGCCCAGCCCGACCAATTGCCAGAGCAAGCCAGCAGTAAGCGAGCGCCAAAAGACATGCGACAAGAATCCCGCCCGCCACTCTGCCGTGTTTGTGTTTGTGTTTGTGTGTCAGGTAGTGACGTCATCGATGGCAATCGGCTTGACGGTGGTGTCGCCTGGTGTTTACGAGTACACCCTGAGCACCGCCCGCAGCGGCACCCACTACGGCGGTGTGTCTGTCTACCGCCTCGGTGGCGTGCAGGCGGCCTACTTCCGCGACCCCAGCTTCCAGTCCCCACCCCTCCACACACACATCGACAGACGATTCGACTACAACTGGTCAGTCATTCCAACCAGTGCACACAAACAAGCAGAAACGTTGTGCATGTGTGTGTGTGTGTGTGGATGTGTGTGTTGATTGCAATGTGCACTGCTGCAGGTGGGATGTGTCGGCGTCTGCCGCTGTGTCTGGCAGCGCGAGCCTTCACGAGTTCGCTGTGCGGTGGGTGGGGCTCATCCGGCCGCCCGCGGGCACACCCGAGATGGTCCGCGCACTGCCCACTGAGACGTACAACCTCACCATCGTCACCGATGGAGGTCGGTGCACCTCACCCACACAACAAACACACAACACAGACGAGTGCGTCGTACGTGTGTGTCCACTCCTCCCTCCTCTCTGAGTGTGCTGTGTCTGTAGGTGTGCGTCTGTACCTGGATGAGTCCCTCGTTCTCGACTGCTGGCGGTGCGGCATGTCCGAGCCCGACCGCACAGGCTGCCCACCGGCGTGTGCCGACGGCAGCACAGAGGGCGGTGAGAGCCGCAAGGGTGTGCGCGGTGTGGAGCTGCCCGTGGCAGGTTTCACCTGGTACCGTCTCGAGTACTTCCACCGCGGCCGGCTGTCGGCCTACCTGCGCATGTACTGGACCTCACTCACGCAGCGGCAAGAGGTGCTGGTGCCCTCGTCTGCCCTCTACTGGGAGGAGCCTTTGCTCCCAGCGTCATCACCCACATTCACCCTGACGGTCAACCCTCTGACCACCGCCACATCGGTGCAGTGGGACCCTTCCACCCCCCCGCCGTCCGCCTCAGCGGTCAGCACTCTCACCGGCCCTCTGCGAGTGTCCCTCACAGACACCTACGGCAACCTCATCCCCACTGGCGGCCGCACGGCCGACTTTGCCGTCACCCTCACTTCGCCACTGGCCAGCGTGACGGCCACGGCGGTTGCTGACCTTGGAAATGGGTACTATGACATCACGTTCACCCCTCTCCTGGCCGGCCCTCATGTGGTGGAGGTGCGCAAGACGGCATCGACCGCCCTGCCTCTCAGGCAGGAGGTCTCGGTGACGCAGGGCGGACCTGACGCGGCACTGTCGACTCTGGCGTGCCTTCCCGCCTCCCCAATTGTTGCTGGCGGGGCCGTCACTTGCACGGTCACGAGCCGCGATGGGGGAAACAACGCCCTGCCGGTCTTGACGCACCTGATTGCGGTTTCGGTGACCGATCCCTCCGGCGACAGCTATCCCGTGTCATGGACCCCCACTCAGCAGCAGATGCCTCCAATGGGCGAGCAGGCCGCCGTGTCGAGCTTCACGTTCTTGCCAACTGAGGCTGGCGCTTGGACAGTGAGTGCGACGCTCCCGCCCGCCACAGCCCTCCCGCCTCTGGCCTACACCGTGACAGCAGCAGCAGCGGCGTCTTGCTGCTCCGACGTGGCTCTCCCGCCCCCTCCCTACCTCACTGGCGACCCATTTGTCATCACCGTCACATCCAAAGACCGGTTCAGAAACCTGCGGACGGGCAGCGGGGATCTCTTCAGCGCCACCGTCACCGGCATTGGTGGGGTGGTTGTGGACCTCACCGTGACGGCCAATGGCGACGGCACCTATGACCTCTCCCTCCCCTCACCGATTGCCGATGACGGCTTCGTCACGGTGGAGGTGTCTTTGGTCGCCCAGGCGGACGCCTTGTCGGTCTATGGCTTCCGGGGGGTGCTGCTGCAGTCGCTCGATTGGGGCAGCAGGACACCCAGTGACACGGAGGTCGTGACGGGGACGGTCGAGCTGACGCCTGCCTTCCAGGGCGGGGCTTATGAGTCGGCTGTGTGGACCGCCGAGCTGCTGCCAAAGGGAGTGGGGACCAACAACTTCATCTTCTCGGTGGATGTGGTGGGCAGAGTGGAGGTGTTGGTGGACGGCCAGCTGGTGCTGTCGGCCCAGTCGCCCACAGCCGCTGTGGCAACGGGTGTGACCTCGGCCACACCGGTGGCGTTAGATGCGGCCGCGTCAGTGCCGCTGGTGGTGCTGTACTCGTTCATCCTGCCGCCCTCGTCGGTGGCGGCGTCGGGGTACCCGCCCGGGCCGACACTCAACCTCTATTGGGAGTCGCCCGACATACCATTGGCGACGGAGATCATCCCACAGACAAATGTGTACCATCTCAAGACTGCCATGCCAGGGTGGGTGACCGAGAGAGTCGCCTTCAAGGGTGTGGTCCATCTGTGTGTATGTGTGTGTGGTTAGGTATCCGGTTCGTCTGTCTGTGGTCAATGACCCCTCCCCCTGCACGAGCCACGCCCTGCAGGACTACAGCGGCTACTTGCCCACTTACATCTTCCCCCGCCCCGGCGACACCAGCTACCCACCCACACATGGCACCGTCGGCCGCCCATATAGCCCCAACCTCCGATGCACTTGGACCTATAGGAAATCCAGCAACCCTGCACACAGGTCGGTCGGTGGACGGACGGGCGAGTTGCAACTGACCATCGTACATGCCTGTGTTGTGTTGTGTGCAGGTTGCGCATCCGTGTGGTGACCTTCGATGTCGAGCAGTCCCTCGATTGCGGTAAGGACAGTTTGCGGATCTGGCGGGGGGCCGCCCCATATGCTGGGCCGCTGGTGGGCAGCTTCTGCGGCACCCTGGCTGGTGGGTCAGAAAACACAAACAAGGACACACACGCACACATGACCTGGATGGATGGATGGATTGGCACATGACATACACACAGGTGGTAGTGTGTTGATGGAGGCCGGCGGTGCTGACCAGGACTACACCATAGAGTTTGTGAGCGACGCAGCCGAAGAGACGGCAGGCTTCCAGCTGGACCTGGCCATCACGTGATGCCGATGATGCCGATAAATGGATGGATTGACGTGTGTATATATATAACTAGCTGTTGGTGTGCTAAAGGTGTATAGCTCCGTGTGTACAGACTACTGACTCCCGGCTGGTGAGAGAGAATAAATGAGTAAGTGTCCCGTTGGTTGATGCGGTGCCGATGCACCCATATGCCATGGACGGCATCGCATCTTCTCTAGACACACCATACATAGGAGCTGTCAGTCAGTTAGTTGACAAACACACATGACACACACACGTCACGTCAGTACCAACATGAATGGCACACTGCACACACGCACACACCTCACACTACATCATCCATCAAGGAGACCAACGACCACTACACAGGACGAGGAGAGAACCACACTCACTCACAGCCAAACATTTCTGTAGTCACAGAAGGAGCAAGCAAGGGCAGACCGACTGGTCAGTCAGCAGCGGGTCGAGCCCAACCAAGGCTACTCAAAACACAGAATTCAGCAGCCAGACAGACAGCACCAATTATCATCTGTGTGCCTTTCGATGTCAAGTGTGTGTGTGTGTGTGTGTGTGGCCTGTCCTGTGACCTGAGCCGACTCCCATTTAGAGCTGCTACCCCTCGTGTGTCGTTGGTGCAGTGCACCCATACCTATCTATCTACCGATGGATCTAAGTGTGTGCCGATGCGATTAAATAGCCAGCCTCCATTCCGTACGCACGCACGCAGTGAGGAAGCAAGTTGGTCAGTCTGTCAGTCAGTCGACAAGAGAGAGCCAGGAAGGCAGACAAGACAAGCAGCGAGACATACACATACATCTATCTATCGACAGCAGGCAGGACACCAGGCAGGCAGGCAGCCGCTAGCTATGTACATCACCCACCCCCTCCCTCCCTCCCTCCCTTCGTCAATCCATCCATCCATCCCTCAGCACTCCCCAAATCCCCATGAACCCCCAAAGGCAGGATTAGACCTCGCCAGCACCTCTCCATGTTTGCCGATAGCCTCCGCCTGGTACCACCAACACCGGTCAGGCGGCAGGCCCCCCTCGATCACCGTCAGGTGCTCAAAATGCCCGGCGAAGTGCGTCCGCATCAGCTGGTTTGGGTGGCGTGTTGGCCCCTGGTACACCCGCCACTGCGCGACCTCCGTGGCCCCGTTCCAGCTGTAGTGGAGCTGCGGCGGGTCTGCCTCCAGATTGAGCACCAAAGTGGGGGGCTCGACGGGCCGGCCGGTCCACGGCAGCTTCAGGGCGCGGTACGACGACTCGTTCTTGACGAACTCGAACTCGACCAGCTTGTTGCCGGCCGCATCGACCTCGCTCCACACGGGCAGCTTGACGGGCTTCCCGACGCCGCCCCAGGCGATCCCGAAGTTGCCGTTGTCGAAGTGCTGGACGCTCCCCGTGGCAAAAGCGAATCGCTTCTTCTCCTCCGCCACCTCCCAGACCTTCTCAGCCGTCATGCTGGCCTGGTCGACGGCGTACATGACGGCTCGTGAGTACTGCGGGCTGGCTTGATTGCCGTTGTCGAACAGGGTGATGTACTTGCCGTCAGGGGAGATGCGCACGTCGTGCTGGTGGGAGAAGGGCCGGAGGTCGTCCGTCACCTTGAAGTCGCTGTCTTTGCCGCCGAACCTCCAGACGAGTTTGCCTGTGGTGCGGTCGACTTTGTGTGCCTGGTCGAAGTGCCTGAAGGAGATGAGGATGTTGCCGTCGGGCGTCCAGTCGATGGCATTCATGTGGATGTGGTCGACGTAGTCCTCCGTGAGCAGCTGCTTGGCCTCGGTCGTCTCAAGGCTGTCAGGCATGTAGTCCCAGCTGCGCCACTCAAAGACCTGACAAACAAACATACAAACACACCAGAGAGACACACAACACGTGTGCAAGGCCCCGACTCTCTCTCTCTCTCTCGTGTGTGTGTGGCTTACCACGTTGCCCTGTGGGTCAATCTCTTGCACAATAGCCCCCGCGACTCTCGCCTCCTTCTTGCCTCCGTCGACGACGCCAGAGAGGTCGAACATTTCGCTGTCGTATATCATGATAAGTGCGCTGCCGTCCTCCTTGAGCTGGAAGCCATGAGGGTTGGCCCAGTACCCATGGCCGGGGAAGATCTGCCGGACCTCTGTGTACGTGTCGTCGAGCTCCACAAAGGTGCCCTCGCCGACGTCATGGTAGGTCAGGGTGTTGGAGCGGACCTGCTTCTTGAAGTCCATGATGGTCCACCCAAACATGGGATTCAGCTCCTTGTACCACACCGGCTCGCCAGTGGTGGTCTTGAGGATCATCAGGTAGGGGTGCCAGTCGACGTCCCGCGGCCAGCCGATGTTGCTCACGAACAGGTAGCCGTCGCTGATGTGTCCGTGGGGTGCAACTGTCACGTTCATCTCGGGGTAGGTGGCCGGCAGGGTCTTGTAATGAGCGGGCGGCAGGTGGAGCCTGTCGCTCTCCTCACCGGGCGGCGGTGTCGTCACCTCCGCCTCGTAAGTGACGGTGTCCTCATACTCTGCCGGGGGCGGGGTGGTCTTCTCGCCGCTGCCGGGCTTCTCGGCCACGAGCTGCCCGCTGCCATCGACGTTATCCTCGTCACCAGGGTAGATGTCATTGGCAGCGTTTGGGACGGTGTCGTCCTCCTCGATGGGCGTCTGCAGGGCGATGGCAATCAGGTTGTGGCCGTCGTCACTCACACCGACGTGAGGCTTCAGCTTGGCGCCCTGGTGGGGCTTGACCGTGTCAAAGAAGGGCTCTAGAGGGCCGTCGTCACTAGCCAGACTCCGATGCAGGTCGTTCATAGTGCGTGCGAGGGCGGCCCTCTCCTCCTTGTCAAGCGAAGACGCCGATGCGTCGAGCTGTCGTCGAGAGGTGGGCACGCCATAGTTGCCTGGGTACTCGACCGGCATGCCATGGGGCACGCTCCCCTTGGCCATCCTCTCCCCCCTCGACACGTGTATGACGGTGCTGCGGTCCTTGCGGAAGGTGTCCAGGCTCTTCGTGGTCACCCTGAACTGCCACGTGTAGCCGTCCAGGGTCTTGCCATCCTCCGTCTGCAGGCCGGGCGACACCGTCACCCTCACCAGCTCCCCGGGCGCCAGGGGATCCTGCGGCTCGAACAGCAGGGTCTTGTTGTCGTGTGAGAGCTTCTTCTTCCCCTTGTGCACGCCGCTCTTGTCGCCAACCACCTCAATCACTGGTCCCAGTGTCTGGGCGAAGGCCGCGCCGGCCCGAAGGGCAATGGTCGTCAAGGGGGAGACAAACGTCGCACTTGGTCGAGGGTTGACGTATGCGAAGGGGCCGAACGGGCCTCCCACTTGAACAGTGACGCCCTCGCGCAGGTCTTGCAGTGAGCGGCTCCGGAAAGATGGCGCCGCTTCGGCAGCGACCCACGCAAGGACGATTGTCACAAAGCCCCTCATCTCAGCGCAGCCAGCCTTCGGAACGCTTCACGTCCCAGCTAAGGTGCTGCAGCCGATCGACCGTTGGACAGAAATAGCAGGACATGGAAAGGAAAGTCCTAGTATTGTCGGCCACGGCGGATACTGCGAGAGAAGATGTGGTCTCTTCTGGCAGTGCTGAGCCTGCTGTGCGCCCCTCTGCTCACCTTATCTGCAGTATACGACGCCCGCTACGGTCAGCTGACACACAGAGAATTAGAGACGAGGAAGTTCTCCAGGTGCACTTCGTTTGGGTCCTTCCTTTTGGCAACTTTCAGGTCGTCTGGACGTGACGTCTTACGTGGAGAGCGACGAGGCCCATGCCGTCAACTACTACGAGACCACGGGCATCATGTGCGCCAGGTAAGGGAATCAGTCAGGAGGTTCGGCAAACCCAGGGTGGGGTCGGAGTGCGTCTGTCCGTCAACTACTACAGGGTCTTCTTCGAGCCCTCCTTCCAGAACACAGTCAAGCGGAAGCTCATATTCTTCACCGTCACACACTATGGCAAGGACGCCTCCCTCCCTGGCGAGCACTGTGAGTGAGCCGAGCCGTGGTCACACACACCAACAGGCCAGGCTACGCTGCTGTGGTCATCGCCTCGGTTGTGTGCGTGTTTGTGTGTGTCAGCGTCGTCAACTGCGTGGTTCGACACGGACCTGAACCCCAACCCCACGGCGAGTTTCGACATCTGTGTCAACGACAACTCCACACACAGACTCGAGAACGGACAGATGGCCGCACACCCCAACCTTCACGCTGACTGGTCGGTGGGTCGGGCGGTCGACCGAGCCGCTGGCCACAGGCACTTACTGTGGGTGCGGTGCAGCATCTGTGTGTGTGTACGTGTGTGTGTGTCATGTCATGTAGGCTTGCCTTTGAGGAGAGGCCGTTCATCGGTGCGGAGGCGGGGAGGCAGCGGTTCCCGGCGGACCTGAAGAAGAAGATGCACCGTGGTTACCACTGCGAGTGGATAGCCTTCGACCAGGCCTTCGAGGACGTCCCTCTCTTCTTCGCATCCATTGAGCACCAGGTCATCGGCATGAACCCCTACAACCACAGGTCAGTCAGTCAGTTCGACAGACGGACACAGACAGGAAGGAGACACCCGACCCCACCCGACCTGGCTGCTGCACTGCACTTGATTTGATGCCTTTGCACCTGCCTGGCTGTCACTGCAGTGACACCCTCTGGGCAGAGCAAGTGACACCAGGGGCGGCAAAGGTGAGAACAGACCAGCTCGTTTCTTCTCCACTCAGAGGCCGACACGTGCTTCATCCATCATCATGTGATTGTTCGTCCAATCAGCTGTGTCTGCGTGACGCACCCATCTTCGAGACGACGGGCCACTTCTTCCAGCACGTCAACTGGATGGCCTTTCCCACCCACGCCATCCCATCCAACGCCCAAGGCGGCACACACCGCATATCGTGGAAGCGGCCCGCCGACCTCTCAAGGCCCTTCGACGAAGCCAGCAATGCGGTGCCCAGCAGCAAGAAGGAAAAGGTTCTCGCATGCCAAGACGTCCTGTTCAAGACACCTTTCGAGACACTACCATACGTCCAGGCAAGCGACCTGACCTGTGCGATCGGTGCTGCCGCGAGACCATTCCCGCCTGCTGCTCATCCATTTTGTCCATTGTCCTGCCGTCTGTCTGCAGGCGATGGTCAACCACAAGAGAAGCGGCGATGACGACGATCGGCGGTCGTTGGGGAGGGTGAGGCCGATGGTTGGGAAGGGCAAGGGTGACATGAGCGAGAGCATGCCGCCCTCCCACGAGGCGCGCGAGGAGGCCACCACGAGCTGGGTGGAGCAGATCAGCGAGAACGGCTTCAGGGTGTGTGTGGCCGAGATGTGGTACACAGCCGGCGATGGGCTGCACCGCGACCTCTATGTCGACTGGCTGGCCTACGACGACACCTTCCTCAGGGACACCAAACACCTCAAGTACACACACACCACAGGCCAACGGCCCACACAGAGATGCATCTGGGGGGTGTGCCCTCCCTGCTGTGCTGTGCTGTTCAGGGCGATGGAGTCGATATCAGCTGAGCTCAAGATGAGCAACCTTGGCGTCAAAGACTCAGAGGAGGTCAGCTATCCATCCATCCCGGTGTCTGTCTGCAGCCATTTCATTGTGTTTCCCTGTCTGTCCGTCTGGCTGCCCACCTGTGTATGTGTCTTCCCTTCCAGGCCGAAGACAAGCTGCGCGCTTCCCTGGAGGACGCCCTTGTGGAAACATCCGGTGTGTCATCTGACCGTGTGTCAGTGCAAATCGCTGAGATTCGGGGCGATGCGGCGGTGATCCACTTCAGCGTCGACCCCGTCACCAAATCCAAAAAGGTTTGTCGAGTGAGTCGTCAGGCAGTAGTGCCATCTCTCTCTCTCCATTAGTTAAGTGCACAAGTGAATTCTTTCTTGTGGTGGCTTGGCTTTGCAGGTGGAGGATGATGACGACACAGGTCCTGGGGATGCACCCCCAGAAGACGCCCTTGCCACCTTTGCAACCATGGTATCCGGCGGGCCGGGCTTGCGCGGGTCACATCACGTCAGGCAGGTCACGTGCGTGGTTGTGTGTGTCTGTGTCTGATCTGCAGCTCGCCGACAACACCAGTGACATCTACCGGACGGCCTTCGGCGCCACCTACCTCTCAGACAAGACAGAAGAGGTCACACCAACACACAACACAACACGCCTCCCCTGACATGGACATGGGAGCTTCTCTCTCTCCCCTTTGGTCTGTCTGTCTCTTCATTCATTCAGGACATGGAGCTGACATTTTCTGCCGACTGTCTGGTGTCGCCCTGGAAGGCCTCCGGCCCGTGCAGCCAAAAGAAGTGCGGTGGCACCGGGGGGCAGCTGCCCATGAAGAGGTGGGTGATCAGGGAGCCCATCAACAACGGCCGCGAGTGTCCGGCACTCAAGGTGGACCTCCAGTGCCACGCGGAGCCGTGTGCCATGCCGCCGCTGACCAAGAAGAAGGAGGAGATCGAGACCATCCAGGCGTCGTCCATCGATGATGAGGGCACCGAAGGTGGAACCACGGCAGAGGGCGACCGAAAGAAGGACAAAGATGGTACGTAGGTAACCAGAGAGAGACACGTGTGTGTGGGGTGCTGACGATGGATACGTACGGGGATTTGGGCGCTGGGTGTGTGTTTAGGTGCCGTGACTGTGGTCAAGACCAGCGGTGGCGGCTACCAGATCCTCTCTTTCCCCAAACCTGGCGACCAACCAGAGGTCCGCACGCGGGAGGGAGGGAGGGAGCCAGACAAGACAGACAGAGCACCCAAACCCACCTGTCTGTCTGTCCTCTTCTTTATATGCCTCGCAGGGTCGTCTGTCCGGCGGGGCCATCGCGGCCCTCATCCTCACACCCCTCATCATCATCGCAGGATGCGTTGCCTTCTGTGTAAGTTAGCCCAATAAATAAAGGATGGATGGAGGCTTTACCCTACCCAACCACGCACACATGCACACACAATGAATGTCGCTGCTGTTATGTTGTGTGTGTATGGTATGCAGGCCTTCCGCAAGTATCGGCTGGCGGGTGACTCGTCAGGCCTCGACGGCGTGCACAGCGCGGGCCGCAGCGGGCGGGCAGCTGCTGTATCCGCAGGGGCCAGCCACGGGCAGACGAGCATCTTCGGCAAGTCGACCGAGAGCTACCGGCCCCAGGTGGACGAGGCCACGCCCCACCACCCGTCCGACAGCTCCCGCAGCACCGTCGCCACCAAGGCCACAGACGCGGACGCCAGCCCAAACGCGCCACACAAGGCCGACATGATGGCCTGACCTGATTGACATCAGGGAGGGAGGGGAGGGGTGTTGCAAAGCGATGGGGCGGTGGGTGGTGTGGTTCTCCCTGGGAGTTTTTTCCCTATGTCAGTCAGATTGATGCCAGGTAGTGTGGATGTGATGTGTTTTTCTGTTGTGAATTCGGTCGGGCATACCTGCGTGCCGTGCCGTCACGGCATGTGATACCTAGTCGCATAAAACCAGCTGCCTGGCTGCCTCCTTGCCTGGCTGCCTGGCTGTCAGCTGACTGACGTGTGGTGAAAACTGCTGCAGTCCATGTAGAGACTTGTAGAGCTGAGTGTGTGCGTGTGTTGTGTGTATATGGATTTTCCATACCGCTCCCTCCCGCTGAGCTTTTCTGTCCAGTCATTGGCACTCGCTTAAGGGGACATACGCACAACGAGGTGGGGTGGGGTGGGATAGGGCGATCGATCAACCATTTAGTCGCCTCTTCCTGTCTGCCTGTCTGCCTGTCTGTCTGTCTGCCTGTCTGTGTGCACGCATTATTAGGCTGTGAATGATAGATGGGGTCAATTGACTGACACGAATGATGTCTGTGTATATACGGTGTGTGCGGGACCACCACCGGACCGGCAGACACTGACTCACTTGTTCTTCATGATTTCCGTCCCCCCTACCACCATGTTTGTGTCCGATCCATCCATCCATCAGACCGATGCTCACAGGGCTTTGCCTGTGTCAGCATCAAGCTGGCTGCTTACTACCGCCTCGCCACGTCAAAACTCGCCCCAGCCAAAAAATTATCACACACATCCATCCACACACACACACACACACACGTCCACGCGTCTCCAGATGACTCACTCACGCCACCTGCACCAATGTGTCTGTCCTTCCTGCCCTATCTATCGGTGTGTCATGATGCCGGGAATGAGGAAGGGGTCGCTCTGTATGATGGGCACCGACTGCGCCAAAGGGTAGTTGTGGCTCTCCCAGGCCACCCTCGGCCGCCCCTCTGTCGTCTCCTTCACTGGCCGGCGGGGCGTGCAGCACAGCGAGGAGCTCACGCAGCCCCTCTCCCGCCGTGTCTCAACACGCAGCTGCCGGGGCTGCTGCTGCTGCTGCTGCTGGGGCACCGCCAAACCACCAGGCACGGCGGTGGGCCGCACAGGTCCACCAGGGCTGATATTCATCACCAGCCGGCTCTCAGGCACAAAGGGGGGCGGCTTCCGGGGCGTGCACGACACGCAGCCGCGGTCAGGACCATCCTCGCGCGCATCGACGACAGGCTTTGGCGGTGCCTTCTTCTGGCAGCACATGGACCAGCCCCTTCGGAAGGCGCGCGACTGCGGCACCAGTGGGAGGGTTGGGTCGAGAAAAATCGGCACGCCCTCGATTGGCTCGTCACGGTAGAACCAGCGCACGTGCCATTCGTCTTGTGGGCCCATACGTGGGGGAGGCGGGGCGGACATCGGCTTGATGACGCTGCCCACAAGGGATGACAGCTCTGAGACACGGAGACAGACAGAGAGGCACAAGACTGTGACTGCAAATGTGTGGGTTGGTGTCGTGACTGACGGCTGGCGAGAAGTGAGGTGACTTCGACTGGTTGGTGCTCCTCTCCTTGTGGCGGCAGGACGACGGGCACGTCCTCCTCGTAATGGTCCAGATCGAGGACGACGTGCTGGTCTATCATGGCCTGTGAAGCCCTGCGGACCATCATGCTCGAACGACGGATCTCATGCAGCTGAGTCTCCTGACGCGCTAGCTCAGCAGCAATCTGAATTAATTAACCACACAGAGAGACACAGACACGGAGACATACGACGGCAGGTGTCTGTCTGTTGCGTGTGTGTGTGGGGGTTGTGGCTGTGCGTACGATGGGCGGGATGGCAGGTGCGGCTGCGCCCGGCGCCTGGACCATCATCTTGCCCCTCCCCTCAGCCAACATAATCTCTTGCTGAGGGAGTGAGTGAGGAAGAAGCAGAATTCCGCAGCCAGGGTGGGATGTGTGTTACTTCAGTGGCTCATGTATGCTGTCTGACCAGCAGTTTTCGTTTCCTCTCCTGGACGGCCCGTTCCTCTTCAATGAGTTGCGTGACTTTCTTCTTGACCTTCTTGATCAACGCCTCTCGGCGGGTCCTATCGCGGTCCTTGTCCGCCAACGCAGCCTGCACTCCACTCCATCCACGCAGAGAGAGACACGTCAGCTCATTCCGTTCCCTGGCGAGAATGCACGATTCATGGAGGATCTTTGCCCACTGACTGACCAGAAGTTGTATGAGTCTTTCTTCCTCGAGCATCCTCGCCCTCGCCAATGCAGCCGCCGTGTCACCCAGTTCCCTCATCCGCCGACGCATCTCCTCCAGATACGAGAGCCTACGGGCCTCCGCGTCACTGAATCGGGTCTGCCTAGCCTCAAGCGCACGGATTCGCTCCTCCTCGATCTTCTTTGCCCGATCGAGTGCCTCTGCCTTCTTGATAGCCGCCTCGTGCAGCTGCTTCCGCTGCCTGTCAATGGCCTGCAGCCGGCGCTGCTCGGCGGCCTCAAGCGTGCCCTCCGCTTTCTCCTGCAGACATGGAGCGGGGAAGGGAGACGGGGACACAGAGGTGTGATTGTGTGTGTTGTGGGGGAGGGGGGAGCTCTTAAGTGGCTTGCTTGCCATGAATCTGCGCTGCCTTTCGTCTTCCAGTTCCTTTGCCCTCTGGAGTGCTTCTGCCTTGCGCTTGGCCTCCTCCTGCAGCTGCCGTTTCTGCCGCTCGATGGCCTGCAGACGCCGAGCCTCCGCATCGTCCAGCTTCGTCTCTGTCTTCTCCTGTCCAATGGCATGGCATCCATCAGTCAGTCAGACGCACCTGCTGGTTGCCGTCTCTGGCAGTCCCTCCCTCCCCGTCCCTTGACCATCCACTCACCTGTATCTTGCGCTGTCTTTCTTCCTCGATATCCTTTCCCCGCTGCAGCACCTGGCTCATCCTGCGGATGTACTGACGCTTCTCCTCCTTCACCTCATCCTGACCGATGTCGGCCTTGGGCGGCCGAGGGGTCGTCGGCCTCGGACCCGGACCACGAGCAGACAACGCGCCCCTCGTGCCAGCAGCCGAGAGGGCGCCCTTTGTGGGCTGGCTCTTGACTGACGCCGGGGTGCGTGGCGAGACGCGGATGGATGACGCTGCAGGGCTGGAGGGCGTCGCGAGGGTGGGGTCGGCCTCGTGATTCTCCTCCCCCTGGACGTCGGCGAAACGGATGGTGCTGGGCTCTTCATTTGCAGGCGCAGAGGCGGAGAGAGCGAGGGGAGGGACGATGGCTGGCTTCGACTTGGCCTTGGGGCTCTTGGGCTTGGCTTTGCCCTTACCGGCGGCCTTGGCTTTACCAGCGGGGGAGCTCATGATGACGGAAGCAAACGTACCCCACAAGCAAAGAAGAAAGGGCCGAGCCCCAATTTACAACAAAATGTAATGGACCCCAGACCCTCTCTTGACAAAACATCACAGGAGTGTCCCCCTCCACACGGGGGATTGGATTCATTAAGGCGTCTGTCATTGTCTGCACACACGTGACATGCCTGGGATTGGATTCGGTGGGAGACACATAAAGGCGTCCATTACATTGTCATTCATTGTCTGCACACACATGGCGCCCAAGACATGTCTCTTATCCCATGGGACGGGGGGAGTGTCATGACACCGTGTGTGCCTGCCGTGCACGGCCGGCGAAACACTTACATGTATACACAGGTAGGAGGGAGGGGTAATAGCTAGTAGCTAGCTAGTGGTCATCAATTGCACTGCACGACAGACACAAAAAACACCACACCACCGCAAACAAACAAAACACAGCCAGCCAGCTAGCTGCGATGGATGAGTCAGATGCATTCTTACACTTGATCGCACACACAACACAACACATGCACATCGACCCATTGATATCAGGTCGACATCAATGTCAGCTTACATACGTGATAGATATGAATGTACTCCATGTACGTCTGCACACTTGTCTGTCTGTCTGTCTGTCGGCCAGCCCCTCCACTCCATTTTCAGAGTGCGCAGACAGGACAGGCAGCAGAGGAAGGAACCCATAGACAGCCCCCCACCCTCCCACTCACCCAGTCCCCCATCGCCTCCCTCTAGCTAGCTATCTGTTCTTGCCCTTGCCCTTGCCCTCTTCATGTGAGAGTGCCGTGACCTCCAGCACCTCACCCTTGCCGTCGTCGGTCTTCTCCCCCTGATTCCTGCCCTCCACCCACACCTCCCCGAGAAAGCCTTCCACATAGCCTTTCTCGTCGTCATCGAGTGGCGGCACAGAGCAGATGCCCTCGGTCTTCTCGGTGTCCACTGCCCGAGTGGAGATGTCACCGTAGTGCAGGAGGGTGTCGGGGATTGACGAGTCTATCAGGTCGCCGAAGATGTTGTCGCACGACACGAGGCCAGCGATCTTGGTGTCGTCAAGGAGGTACGAGAAGAGCTTTATCTGAGAGAGGAACATGATTGAGACAGGGAAGGGAGAGTGATTCTGTGTGGAAAAGGGTGGAGGGTGTGCGTGTTGTCTGTCGTGCCTGCGCCATTTCTCCGATCATGGTCTTGTGTGGGTAGATTCGGCCGTTGAATCGGTACTCGGTCGAGTGCCCGATCGTCAAAATGCCGAAGCGGCGGACCTTCTCACCCATCTGCAAAACAACACACACACACACACACACCCCACATACCATCGTATCGTGTCCCTTTGTGTGCTGCGCGTCGCGTCCTGACGACCGCACCCACCGCGATGATGGTTGTGGCCATCTTGTCTCCGTTGAGGTACACACTGGTCCTTCCCGTGCTGCTCTGCCATGACACGGTCAGGTGCTTCCAGCAGCCGCCCCGCGCACACCAGTTCTTCTCATCCGGGAAAAAATTGTGGAACAGAAAAATCTGGTCCGCAACAGACACCTGACCACACACACACACACACAGGCATCCACACATTCACATACCGCCACCGGGTGTGTCGTCGGTGTGTGTGTGCTCACCTCAAGGTCTCTGCCGACTGCCCTGATGAGCATTTCGAGCTGCCTGCCGGGCTGGCCGGGGATGCCGTAGCCGAGGAATGGCTGGACGGCCTCTGTGGGGGTGGGGTGTTGGGAGAGGGGGATGATGTTGAGCCAAGCCGAGAAGGTGAACTGGGTGAGCTGCGGGAACCCCAGGCTGAGACTGCACGTCTGCCTCGTCTCAATGCGGCTGGTGAGGGAGGGGGGGCTGGGGAACTTGTAAACCAGACCTGACCAACGAAACAGCAGCACACGTCACGCCTGATCCATCAAAAATCGGTGTCATTCATGTGGCTCTCCCTGTGTTCGATCACCCACCCTTTTCCGCCTCGAGGAATCGCACCGAGTCGATCATCATGGCGGCGCCCGTGTCGTTCTCCGCGGCATCGGTGATTTGTGCGAGCGGCAGGACGTCGATGTGCAGATAGAGGACCGGGGGAAGCTCCGGGGGGATGGGCCGCCCGTCGTGCTCACTGTCAGTGGCTCCGGCGGCAGGGATGACCTCGTAGCCCTGGTTGCGGGGCTTGGTGGGGGAGCTGATCGGGGCCGCGAACAGGGTCTCGCCGTACAGCTGATGGTTCAAGCTCAGACGGATCTGACGGACGGACCACACAAACGGTTGTGTTGTGTACCGTACGCTGGGCCTCTGAGTGTTGTGTGGGGTAAATACCCCGAGAGGCGAGTAGTCGATGCCTATGGTCATGAAGTCCTCGTCCGCCTCCTGTGAGGAGTCCCCATTGAAGGCACGCAGCTCGCCAGCGGTGAACAGGCGGCTGTTGGCAATCATCGGGGACTTGTCCGCCGCAGAACCCCTCTCCCACCTGCCATTCATGATCCACAGCACAGCAGTGGCACACCCACCAAGCCCATGGGTGACGATTCCTACGCCCATTGGGTCTCATCTCATTCCCCTCTCACTTGAGGATCTTGTATCTCATTTTGCCGTCGGTGGCATTCTTGCCGTCTCCTGTGGTGGCCATCAGCACCCCAATCTCGTACTGGTCGCCATCCAGCTTCTCGGGTTTAGTCGAATCTTTGCCCTTGCCCTTGCCCTTGCCCTCGCCCTTGTCGAATCTGTCCATCGATGAGGGGTAAGGCGACGCCCATATCGACTGGAACAGCGTCGCGTTGGCGGACTTGGCCAGCTTCATGCGCAACTCCAGATGGCCGAAGCCCAGAATGGGCTTGGTGGATGACATCCGCACCCCCTGGGTGCCTTCTGCCATGATGGCCACCTGCACAGAATCCTCCTCCCTGCCCTCGGGCACGAACTTGAGCACACCATTGTCCACCTCGGCCGCAACCTGGGTGGCAGGCTTGTCCTCAGCCTCGTCGGATGCGAGCGGGCAGCCGACCGTGAGGGCGCTCTTGTGCCTCTTGAGCACAGCGTCGGCCGAACCGGCCTGGCTGCAGTCGAGGTGAGGGACCTTCTCGCCCCTGGCCGCCTTGGCCATGTCGGTCATGGTGCCCCCGCCCTTGACGATTGGCGTCAGAGTCCACCGATCACTGTCCAGCTCATCGCCCTCAAAGTCGTCCCGCCACACGGTGGTGTAGCCGGGGAAATCTTCCCCCTTGGCACCTGCGAAACAAACAGCACAAACAAGCAATCAGGTGGTGGTCGCCTCGAGAGTGATTCGAAAGGCAGGCTAGCCAGATTCACCTGGACATTTGCCGCCCGTGTCTGTGCCACAAGACTGCTGCGCACGTGATGGTCCAGCACTGAGCGCAAGGAGCAGCAGCGATGCGGCAGCAAGCGGCCTCCTCAGACGCAGTGTAGGCATTGTACGGCAAAGGGAAGAACCCCCCCAGGTCGCCTCTTGCTCACCGCACTGCCTATCTCAGCATCGCTCGCTCCCTTGATACGCACGCACTTCTCACCTCCTGCGCGGTTTTCGCCCTTTTCTTTTCGGAAGGCCAGGCGATCGCCCTTGCCGTTAGCGGATATGCTGGCCGCGCCACCAACCAAGAGGAGATGTGTGTGATGTGGAGAAGCCCCCTCGTTTGCCTCGTGAGCAGGACCATCTGGTGACCTAATGATTACAAAGGAGAAGGTCGCATCTGCTCAGCTGTACTTTTATTTCGAACGCAGAGACATCTGATCACGCAGTGCCACGCGATGTCCTCATTCACCAAAACACTGCAACGTCTAGCTACACAGATAGGTCTGGTGTGCACACAGAGTCAGTCACGCTACGTGAGAGAGAGGAGAGAAGCGCAGAACCACCAGAGCAGACGACACACGGTAGCCAGCCAACACTGACTGTAGCTTGTCATCATGCACGCACTAGATCGATGTGATGCAGCACGGAGAGAGACCGACAGCCCAGCCCAACGCACCACCACACCTCAATGTGCACTGCACGCCATACAGCACAGCAACGAAGACAAAAACACGGATGGATTCACACAATACACAACAGAGACCTATCTATCGCCCTCGGGCGAACGACCGACAGCCACAATCCCACTCAATCACGCCTCCCCGGCCAGTCGACAGTGCTGCGACAGGCGACGCGACTGCTCGACATGGGGGAGATGCCCTCTGCCCCCTCTCTAGGCTCTCGGGCCCAGTTCTAGGCTTCTCTGCGCCTGGCTGACGGACGGCACTGCAGGCCGCAGAAGGCTGAACGTCATGCCGAGACTCTGCTGCAAAATGCGGAGCGACATCCTCAGGTCTTGCTGCAAACGACACGCAGAGAAGCAGGACCTCGTGAGTCAGTCGATGCTGTATGTGTAGTTTTCGTGAGTCAGTCAGTACCAGCCATGCCCCTCTCTTTGATGGTATGCGGACAATGATGGGCTTTTTCATCACCAGGCCCATCCACCCAAACACGCGAACCACATCGGTGTCCTCAGGCGCCACATTCAACACCGCTCCACCGTAACCGATGAACTCCAGCGACTCAGCAGCAGCGTGGTCGAGGGCGGGTGAGTATCTCGCCCTGATGGCCGCGCGGAAACTCTGAACGTCCTCCACGCCCTTCAGGCGGACAAACTTGGGATTGTGCCCGTACTCCAGAGCAACCCACAGCCCCCTTGGCCCTTCCTTCTCCTGCTGCTGGGGGCGGGTGAGAACATTCCTCTGTGTCCTGCGGGGCGGCGGCGCTATGGGAACACTCAACTGGACGAGTTGAGCGCCGGGATGGGAGGGGCTGGTCGCTGTCGCTTGCGGGTCAAACCGCTGCACATTCGCGATAAAACATCTGGCACTGGTGCGGCTGATACCCTGCTGCACCAGGTCACACACGGTGAGTGTTCTAAACGCGTCCCATGATGTGATCCGGAGCGCCAAGACCCCCTCTCGGAACTCGTCAGCCTGTGGATTCGACCGCAGCACGTGATCCACAGCCACCAGGAAGGAGGTGTCACTGTTGAGGTGACAAAGGCAAACACACCACACCACACCCCGGAAAGTCGCACAGTGAGTGAAGACAGACACCGTGTCTGTCGCTCTCCTTGCCTTCCCTCCCTTTGACTGACCTGAGAGGATCCAGGAAACTCAGTGCGTAGACAACGGCTTTCGCAACACCCAGAGGAACACCAGCAGCGACAAAGTCCTCAGCGCTGACCCGTCTGAAGTCGCTCCACGACTTGATGACAGCGGTGAACTGCTCACGATGAGCATGGAAGCTGGCGTAGGATGGATCAGCGAGAACCCGGTCAAGGGCAATATCAAACCGTGTCGAGGCCTCCTCCAAAGACAGATCTTCGTAAATCGTGTCATCAGGAACAATTGCAAGACGGGAGGAAGGTGACAGCGTCCATCCACCCGCAAACAGGGAGATGAGGAGGGCTGCGATCTAGCGAGAACCCGTTTCACGGAGCCCGACCCCATTGGTTCGGTTTCACGTACGCTCTAATCCCGCCCGCACGTTTGGGGTGTCTGACAGCACACTTACCCCAATGCCAACAGTTCTCGTCTTTCGGTTCACGTGTCATGAGGGCAGCACATGGTGACAGGTCCATGGTATGATGTCCCCGTTGCCATCGCCTTGCCCAGTGACACGCTCCCCGAAAGCCGAGAAGCAGGACGCATCGCAGCGAAACCCAGGTCACACACATGAAACTGTTTTAGTTAACGACTGTGTGTAGATCCACACAGACTGACTTGTGCGTGGCAAAACCGACAGCTAGCGCAGCGGACAGATGCGCGTGGATGGAGTGAGTGGGAACCGCGTGACTGTGATGGCGAAACCGACAGAAAAGAAAAAGATAGAGCCCGTGAGTGACTGAGTGACTGAGTGAGGGAGCACACAGACTGTTGCTCGTGGTTTCGCCCGCAACACAGTGCCCTCAAAGAAAGTCAGAACGCAGAGAGGGAGACGATCGCGAGAAAGCTTGCCTGTCTGCCCTTCCCAA